GGGTGAGATCTGGGTTTGGGGTGGTTTTCGTTTTGGGTTGGGGGAAGACGGGAACAAGGAAACTTTTTAATGGGGATAGGGGGTGGGGTGATGGGTTTGTAGGGAGGGATGGAGATGAACGGAGGGAGGGGAGGAGATGAACAAAGGGATAGGGAGTCGAAGAGGTGGCGGATGAGAGGTTTTGGATTTGGGTCGCATAGAAGGGGAAGGGGTTGGGGAAGATGGGTGTTTGGGTTTTTTATTTTTTTTATTTTTTAAGGGTAAAATATTTTTTTATTAATTTTTTAATAAAAAGTGGGCCGCGTCTCAAGCCACGTCAACATCTAACGGATGAATTAACAGACAATTGACGGAAGGTATGACATTGTAACAAATTCGAAGATAAGGTATGACATTGAAATTTTTTTAAAACGGGGTATTAAACTGTGACTGACCCAATAGTTAAGGTAATTTTATATAATTTACTCTAGAATATAATTACGTGATAATTAAGTAATACAATCAAAGGAAAACTAATGAAAAGAGCTTCAAATCTTTACATTTTAATAAAAAAACCACCCACTAACTTTATTTTAATAATAAGGACAAAAGACTAAAAAAAAAAAAAAACATATAACAAACCCACCGGCGCTGGGCGCATACCCCCCCCCCACCCCTCAGTCCACTCTTTTTCTCCTACATTTTGTCCCATCATTCAGCTACATTAATTTTTTTTTTTGCATAGAATTTTTTTTTTTTAAAACTTCGAATTGAATTACATTCTCCTATTTTATTTTTGTCTCCTATCTTATTTTTGTGGTGTTGTTTTCTAATAGTAGTCATGATAATGAGAAACTTTTCAATGTGCCCAGAACACAGGATGGTACATTCCATACAAGTTGTGAGAATCTTGTTAAAAAATTAATAACATAAAAAATAAAATTTTCCACCACACTTATATAATAACATGTGGTATATCATTTGTGTTACGGGCAAAAGGAAAAATTTCTCGAAGATGACACTTAAGCTCAAGAAATTGGATGGAAAACTACATTGATTATTGTAGGTATATGAAAAAAGTGAGGAAATTTTAATTTGGTAATTGAAAACAGCTTTTTAAATATAATTACTGAGAATTAAACACTATTTATAAAACTTGACCAATAAGGGTCTAAGTTTCAAACCTTATGAAACTGAACCAAGAATTAAATACTATTTATAAAACTTCACAAATAAGTAGACATTATTAATGAAATTAGACCAATAAGTAGACATCATTTATGAAACTGGATCAATAAGTAGACACTATTTATGAAACGAAAACAAGAATTAGGTATAATTTGAACACTGGACTATACACTATTTATGAAACTGGAGTAAGAACTAGACAATATTTATGAATTATGACCAAAAAATAGGCACTATTTATAAAAGTGGACCAATAACTAGACACTATTTACGAAACCGGACCAAGAAAGAGACACTATTAATGAAATTGTACCAATTACTATACATTATTTATGAAACTGGACCCAATAACTAGGCATTATTTATGAAACATGATAAAAACTAGACATCATTTTATGAAAGTGGATAAAAAAACTAGACACTATTTATGAAATTGACCCAATAAATAGTATAGTACTGTTCAGTTTCATAAATAGTCCAGTTTCATAAATAGTGCAGTTTTATAAACAGTGTTCAGTTTCATAAACAGTGTATATGTACTGCGCGCGCGTCAGGTTTTTTTTTTTTTTTTTTTTATTGTGTCCTTTTCGTTAAAAATTAAGTTTTTTGTCCTTTTTATTAAAATTTAAGGATTTTTCATTAAAATTTAATTCTTTTTCATTAAATAAAGTTTATAGCATGGTTTTTTGTTAAAATAAACTTAGTCCAAGCCCTTTTCATTAAAGTTCCCTACAATCAATTCAGTGTTATTGGAAATTAATCCAAGTAACCACAAGTTGATATACAGATTGTCATTTATCCACAGATCGATCGCCAGAGACATCGACATGCCTTGTTTAAAGCAATGCCTATAGTAGGTGGTTATACGTACGTAACTAGTAATAAGATTAAATATTTATTTTTGATAACAAATTTTCCCGGAAAAAATGGGACAGCATCGCAACTTTACTGTAAAATAACGAGAATTCCTTTGTCTACTTGTCGATTAATTGTTGTTCGTTTTTAATTTATTGGATGACAGGTCGAACGTGCCATATAAATTTCCTCATCCACCAACATTAATATTCAAGACCCGAGGGCTACATGAATCAATGAAGCCTCACCGGTCAAATATGAAAACCCTTATGAATATTCACCAGTGTTTTTGAAGTCTTTACCCCAAAACACAGTAGTAACTAGCGTCATAAGAAACAAGGAGGGACACAAGGGGAGCTAATTAGCTCAACGTATGCAGTTACTAGTCATGCAAAACTATAAGAAACTTTCATGACATCAAATGATCAGGGGTCAATGTTAAGAGGTTTGCTAATGTTCTATTTAACTGCCTAATTATGAGAAGTTCATAATGTAGAACATTTGACTGAAAAGATCAAAGAGCAACCTGATAAGCTTAAAAATCGCTAACAAGTCTCAAGCATTGCAAATTTGGATTCTAATGTCCAATTAATGACCCGTTGTTTCAAAAAGAAGAGTATAACGAGTAAGACTCATTAATGTGCAGGTGCCCTAACGTATGTGCATTTTAAGCCAAAAACAAAATTTTAAGTTTTGAGACTCCTTTACATCATGTAATACATGGTGCAAGAAGAGTCATGTGCAATAACTAAAAATTGGTTGAAATAATTTGAATATAGAAATATGGAAAATTGGAAGCAGTTGGGGAGATGAGATATTATCGTGAATAACCTTTAGCTGAGTCTGCAGCAAGATTAAGTGTACTACACTGCTACTGGTCCTGCCAATGTTGGTCCAAATATATATGGACTTCTTCCTCCTCCGCCTTCATTGTCTTGCGAGTTGGACCGTATATTATAAAATCAACATTATGTATTAATTCCATGATATATAATAAGTACTCAACAACATTTAATAACAACAAACTCAAATGTTCTTCACAATATTTCATTGTCAAGAACTACCTCTGGCTTCTGTCTCGCTACTACTTACCACTAGTTATTCATCGACCTCGCTCCGCTAGCTTCCCAACCGAACCAAACTTCCCAAATTATTCTAATTTATGTGACACCTTCAATGTCGAAATTTTGTAAATATATATAGATATATATCATATATAAAGTAAACCTGAGCTAGCTGTCTCAATACTTTAATTATCAAAATATCCATGGACCTAGATCTTCATTCATGGATTAATGTAACTTCCTAATAAGCGCTCATTAGTTATAAATCGTAACGGGACTCGGATATATACCGTTCATGAGTATGTTGGGACCTAATTGTTTAACATCGGAAAAATAATATATCATGGGGTGGTTTAAGATTTCTTGGGCGCCAGTTCCTTACAACGCGATTTTTAAGGCCAAGTTCTGCTCATGAACTCTTAACAAAGTAACATATTACTCAAGTTACTAGGTAGCTAGTACTACAATGAAATGTACTCTTGCTTTTGTTTTATAATAAACCATATGTTTTAATTTTCTCACATAGATCGTCACGATAGCATGAAAACCAATTTAGTGCTGCCAATTGATAATTCATCGATCTCTGCTAGCTATTTGTTTTTGTAGCACTTGATCGTTAAGAAATAATTGATTGTCCTCCAAGTCACATTGTACTTAATTACGTCGTAATAATGCTTGCATCTAATCCCCAAACTGCATCTCTCACCCTCTGGGTAACTTTTTCACCCAAAAATTTAGGAAATTTTTTTTTGAAGTGTCATATGACCTTACATGCATCTTTTTTAATTTGTCCTATGAACTAAAATTTTAAGTAACTTATCATATTAACTTTCCAAAATCATTAATTTGTCATCACCCTAACACAGTTAAGTTTTCTATCCAATGTAAGACATGTGCCTCACATGACTCATGTTTAAGGTTATTTTGGATTTTTGACTTCCTTTTCAGAACCTATTTACTTCTCTTTGGTACAACTCTTAAATTTTGGCCAATTAAAAACATGTCATGTTTGTTTGAAAAAATTATGGTGAACTATTCGAAAAGTATCTTAGACTCACTAACATAGAGTTATGGCTAATTGCAAGCTTTGAGAATTTAGCATGGTCAATCATGCTCATAAAAAGCGTGGACAATCATGACCAACTATTTCATTTCATTGCTACCCTATATATATATATATATATATATATATATATATATATATATATATATATATATATATATATATATATATCTCTATGTGTGTGTGTGTGGGGTAACTTGCACGCCAAGTGGCCATCTAAAATGGATAACTTTAGTCGTTAGATCAAATTTCAAGGACGTGGATCCTTTGATTTGGTCGATCAGGTGGAAAGGGATCCGTTATGTACCCTCTTTGTGATTTGGTCCAATCAATAGATGTCACGTGTTTTTAGTTTTTTAAAGCCCAAAAGAATAATAACATCTCCATCATTTAATAAAACTTGTGTTAAAATATCATGGGGCAAAATCAAAAGGTCAGTACTTACTAGTGAGTACCCAAGTATTATCAATCAAATGTCATCAGCTTTACTTTACATCTGATTATTTTTAAAGCGCATCATAAGCAATTTTTTTTTCAAACCATAACAATTTCAAACTGTCCCTTAATTTCCTAATTAAGGACAATTAAGAATTTAACTTAAAATTTTAAAGCACTACTTGAATTTATTTACTTTAATAGGACGAAAGCACTCTCTTGAGCTAACACTAGAACAAGGGGTGTGATATCCACACACCCTATTTTACTTCTCACACACCTTTTTAATTTTTGGTCGTTGGATCGGATGAATTAAAGAAGATCAACGGACAAAAATTATCAAGGGATGTGTGAGAAGTAAAATGGAGTGTGTGGATAGCACACCCCCTAGAACAATGAGAGACGAAAACTGAAGGAATTAGAATATTACAATGTTTATTATTACATTTTCTTCCAAAAAGATGAAAAGCTGATTGCATGACTTGACAATGAGGACTGAGGATTAGCCAGGAGCATAAACAAATCGATCAATTCATGATATCATAATATTTTATATACTGATTTTAACGACCATATTAAAATGTAAGGCAACTGATTAATTGGACTTAAAAAGGCGACAATATTATTTCATTAATCAATCGCTCAAGAAGTTGTTAATATATTTATTGATAAGTGAAGGGATGAGTATGTTGTAGGTTCCTTCTGTAGGATGATAACTGTCCCAAAACACATAATCGGATCGATTTTCACACGTAGAATCGTACTTGTTGCATAACACTGCTACCTCTATTTCCCCCGTACCACAGCAACCTTGATCCACAACTTTAAAACCTAAAACTCATTAACCCAAATATCATTATTAACACAAAATATTAAACTAATCTCATCAACTAATGCATTAATTAATTAGAATAATTACCATATTTGGCAGGGTTGAGAATGATATCAAGCAGTGGATTGTAAACATCCACGTAGACGATTTTACTGCCAGACAGGGCGGAGCTTAAGGAGTTGAGTGAGCTGGACAGTTTGATGTTGAATAACTTTGCCGCGTCGTTGTGTTCTTCTGCACAACCTCTCAGAATTCCTCCACCCAAAGTTCTTTGTGAAGGCACACATCCTATTGGTGGTGCACTGAACACGCCAATCCTTCTCACCCCAAGTTTGTACAATTCCTAAATAAGTAATTACCATATCATTGTTAGTAAATAAGGGATTTGATTAACGGAGTAGAATTCTCTCCATTTTAAATCCTGAAAAAAAAAATTATTATGATGGAAATATGAATGGTACACTACGTGTTTTTATGTAAGTGGTGAAATTTTTTATTTTTTAAGTTATTAATTTTTTAACACATATATCTCACCATTTGTATAGTACCACGTGGTGTACTATCTCGTGTGCCGGTCACACTGAAAAATCTCTCCTAAATCCCTCCCCTTCCTCCTTTCCTCTCCTCTCTCACTTTTTTCTTTGACTTTCTCTATAAAGAAGTCAACACAAGATGTTGACGTAACTAATCGTGACTGTTCAAATAGAAGGAAACTGGAAAGGAAGAAAATTTGGAGGGGAGAGAATCCTATTGATTAACTTGTTAATCTAGTGGGTCAATTATTATAAAGGAAAATTGAAATAGAGAAATTTAAAAGTTAATCACCTCTATGTTGTCTTGCTACTTGTCACCGAAACGAATCGGTGCATGTTTTTTTAAGACCATTCTCGTCATATATGGTAGGGTAGTGTTATTTGCACACTCCTTTTTACCCTTCATACACTTTTGTTAATTTTTGTCTATTTATCTTCTTCAAATTCATTCAATCCAACGGTCAAAAATTGATAGGAGTGTATAAGAGGTAAAGATGAATATGAAGTACCACGAACAGCTAAGGTACTATATTATTGCCAAAATAGGTGTTTATACGACATTTTTCTTTGTCAAAAAGCTTTGTAGTTTCCCTCAATTCTCTTTAAAACTCATCAGAAAATATGGACCCTCAATTTCCGTCATGACAATAATGGACTTGAATGCCATTATTTGACGAAAAATTAGATGGAAGTGGACATAGATCGATATCAAACTGTAAGAAATTTGTGTGGTTAATATAATTTTTTTTTTAATGTAAGTAGTAATCACACAGAACTTTCAGTTCAAGTAAAAAAAATTCAGGTAATATCTGTTCAAATTTCTTGTTACCTTGACGAAACTAGATGCAGAGTTGACCATGAGGTCAGTGTAAGCAGGAACACTATACTGCGCTTGTCTTATGCGAATGCCAAAATAGGTGTTGGCGATGTCATCACTGCCGGAAACCACCAGAACTAGAGCCTTGGATAGGATGAACTCGGTTCTCTCTTCTCCAACAACGCCCTTGAGCTTCGCTATATACTCTTTGAACATTTTCAACTGATCATCCATTGATATAACTGACTGCATTTTATCAAAATTATGCAGAAATAAGGATTGATAAATAAAAATTATAATTTATGAGCAAAGCAATTTAATCTATTGATATATTCATGGGTGCGCGCATGTTATATTAACGTACCGCTATTTGGGGTGTCATAGGGTCAAATCCGGTACCACCTGATGCAAAGACAACTCCAGTGGGGAGATCTTGAGGTCGTAGATTTGGATCCAAATATGCCGGCAAATACTCTCGGATTCCCAATTCTGACGCTGATCATCATAAACCAAAATGAATGTAGATAGAAATACTAAGACTTTGTTACTATTAAATATTAATTTAAAATTTTTCCAGCATGGATTTTGTCCAATTCTTATTTCGAATAACTTTGTAAATGTAGATAATTATCAAGTGTTAGTGTTAAGAAAGTAACTCAACATAAGGAAAGTAACATAATATTAAATTAATTTTAATTTGGACAAAGGTTGTAAAGTAAAACGTAAAAAAAATGAAATACTACATAATTATTCTATAAATAAAGAAAAATTAAACTCCATAGCTATCTTGGTTGAATATGTGCATGATGTGAGTTTGCATATAATATATAGATAAAGGATCTACAATTTTTTATTTTCTATATGTAGACGTGCAATCTTGGTAGCATAATTGTCACACCAAATGGCTAAACGGTTTTGGTTCTCTAAGAGATGAAATACGTGTAAAAGGATAAATAATGTTATTTGTGTCAACGGAATCACCACCATGATACTCTCGAGACAGAGAGAGGTTGTTGAGGTCATTGGTGACATGCGAGTTGGCCCAGAGTCCAGGAGCCATCTTTACTCATTTTTTTCCATCCGCAATCAAATACATGCATGCATATAGGTATACAAGATATACCAAACAAAAAATTTAGTTTCTGAGCTCTACATAAACAAGGAATAATTTGGAAAGCTTAAAATTGTTATTTTTTTATTTTCCCTTTATTACAATCGATATTTTTATTTTAAACCGTACCAAAAGAAGGAGAAAGAATTCGAACCCTTGTTAGAACGAGACAAAATCTAAATAGTAAAAATGCTCTGCTATACAAATATGTGTATGAAGGCTTATAGGGAGGTTCACAGTAAACGTTCTCTCCACTGACAGACAACTGCTATACAAATATGTCATGCACACACTGTGATTATCGGCGAGGACATCTCTCTCCATGATGGATAAATCAGTTCCGATCGTAAACCCTCATGCGTCGAAGATGAAAACTACAGTTGGTACACATCAGACACACACACATATATGAATTTAACGAAATGGATGAATGTATATTTGTATGCGAGAGAGGCTTGTTATACCTATGAGGTCTGAGGGCACTTTGCCATTGCCAAACCTGCCACTAGGCATGTGCTGCTGGAAATCTAGTCCATAAGGAGGGAAATTGCACCTAACAAGTGACTCGAGATCATTGTTGTTGCCCGTGTCCATGATCGAATCGCCGAACACTATCACCGCCGGAACAGTCTGGTTTGGTGGCAGCTTCACCAGTCCCTCTGTGGCTGTAGGGTACTGGAAAACACCAAAAACTACAACACAAACACATAATATCAACCGGGACGACAGCAACTGGGAAGGACAAGAAGAAGAGGAAGAAGACTCCATAACAAATAATCCTGATACCATTATTTTGGAAGACTCTTTGGTCTCACTCTAATGCTCCTCCAGGTGCATTTTTGTGCCTTATATAGACAAGATGTGAAAATGTCGCGACATTGCCCTATTTTTAGTCGCTGACTGCTCTCACAGGAGACTTCAGAATATCCAAGCTTTTCTCCATTTACCACAGAGAAAGAAACAAAAGGAAAATTAATAAAAATGGTTTGAAAACTTTAAGTTTTAACGAAAAAGATAAAATAAATGCTAAAATAAATAGTATTATGACTGACTTTTTAATGTAAAAATATAATTTTTTGTTAAAATAAACAATATCTATAACTTTTCGTTAAAATTCTAAGAAAAAACAATAAATAACCAAGATTTGTTTTTTACTGCAGTCATTTCAGTTGAATTTGTTACAGGTTTTTTTAATACTAGCCTTCAAGATTCCTAATTTCTAGAAGTACGTACAGTTTGCATGTGTTACTGCGTATTTCCAGTGCTAGATGTGGAGAAATTTTTTATTGGGAAGGAAATATGGATAATATATTATGTGTTTTTTTTTTAAGTGATGATAAATTTTATTTTTTAAATTATTAACTTTTTAACACACATGTCTCACTATTTGTGTAATAACACATTGTGTACTATTTTGTGTGTCAGTTACATAAAAAATTCTCTCCAAAGATGCCATCATTTCTCTATATATGTAAATAAATAAATAATTGGAAAGTAATGTAAAAGACGTTCTTTTCTTTGCCACCAGGAATGAAAGTTACTTATCAGACATTAGAGAGGTCGCTAGTATTGCGGTTTAAAGATTTTTTTTGTCCACTTATAAGAAAAATAAACAAACAAATCAGAGGAAACCCAACCCTACTCAATTATGTTTCGAAAGTGATTACACACTCGGATTTCTATCCGCGCAAATCTCTGTGTTTTTCTAACGATTAAATTTTGTACATGAAAATAAATGAACATCTATGAACACAGGTAGTATGCATAAATAATTGAGAACTTTAACGAAACGTTTTCGGTACTGTTTATTTTAACGAAAAATCATATTTTTATACTAAAAAGTTAATTATGATACTATTCACTTTACTCTTTATTTTATCTTTATCGTTAAAACTCAAAATTTTTAAATCTTTTTCATTAGTTTTCCTTAAATAATTTTCCTATTATTTAAGCTTCTTCATTAAAACACTACGTACGTTTACAAACCATAAATCAATGCTTTACTTCTTTAAGTAAGGCAGACCAGTTACCCGCTAGCCATATACATGTCATTATTTCTCAACTAAAAAACATTTTAAAATGTTATTTATGATTTCTTGATCAGCCACATGGTCTGTTGCATGTAGGTTGCATCACACATACCTACTTGGCCAATGAAAAATCGTATACACTCCTCGATTCAGCATAATATATTTGTATATCACAAAAGGTACCTATCTCATCAGTGTCATAAACTTGATCTTTTAATTAAAGAAGTATATTTTAGGCATTGTAGGTGAAGAAACAGTGAGCACAAGTTTAATTGGCACAACTGTTGTAGTAATCTTGGGATACTCAACCTGTTTTTGTTATAAAGTGAATAAAATTATTAAAAGAGAAGAATTCAATTACAAAGACAAAGTTGAAAGGAAAAACTTGTACTAGAGTTGTTCGTAAGTAGGACATGATACTTTAATATTGTCAATTCATGGTGGAACTTTATTTTATTTTTTTAATGATATTTGAGCAGATTGATCATGTGTGATGTTTAACGGCTATACGTGTTATATGTCACCTAATTCATGTTATCTATGTGTTTAGTTTTTATCACACATAAGAATGCATGTGTGGATGTAAAAGAGTTTCACATCGCTGAAAGGAGAAAACTTGTAAGGGCTTAAGTTGGGCTACTCCCCATATTGTTAATTAATTTTAAGATGTAACCTCAACTTTATTTATAATAACAGAGCATGTTGTCTTACGTATGAAGTTCAATGACTACATGTGCCACACATGCTTCATGTCACCCGTTTATGTTTCCCACGTGCTTGAGTTGAAAATTAACCACACGTAAAAAAACTTGTTAAGAATGAATCTCACATTGATGGAAAAACGATTTTACATGGGCTTATAAGTAAGTTAGACTACTTATTTATTACCAACTAATTTTACGTTGGAATCTTATCTTTCTTCAAAAGTTGTAGTCGAAAAAATCTAGCATATAATTAAAGAATTAGACGAATCAAATTACACATTAAGATTGGGTCGTAGGTTATTGTTGCAACTTCACGCTCCTCCCACACCAAACTGATGGAAAGAACCAAGATCCTTAAAATTTGGTCATCAAACTATACCGAAATAGCGTCTTATCTTCCCAATAAGAGTGAGAAGGGTCCCGGTAGAGCTTTAAGCCTTTACCCCCTCTCTCCCACAATTAGTAAGCTAATCTTGCTTCTTTATGAGAGGTGGTTGGCTACCTTCTTCAAAAGGAAATCCCTCGAACCACAAATGTACAGTTGGATGCTCTGGGAATCAACTACTGGCAAGAGTTTTCTAAAACACCCAACAGGGTATTGCCTGCAGTCTACGTAAGATCTTGAGGTCGTATTGCATGCAAGCTGACGTAACATCATAATTTATTAAACCTCCACAAAATTGGAAGGAGAAAAAGAGACCAAAAAAAGCAACCAAAAGAACCATTTCACTAATTAAATTAATTATTTCCCTTTTCTATAACCAAAAAGGAGGGAAATTAAAGGACGCTCAGTTGGGTGAGTGAAGTAGGTTACTTAATGTAAATGATGATTAGTTGAGTTAGTAATGATCGTTTTCTTTAGTAGACTAAAACTTAAGTTCGAGTTCCATCATCGAAAATCTCTCTTAATAGGCGATATGTAAAAATAAAAAACGAAACTAAAACCTCTTATGTAAGTTCTAAAAGAGATTTATAGAATATTCTAACATGAGATGAAGTAGCCTCTCCTCCTCAATTTTTCAACACGAAAAAAAAATGTAGGTTACTTTATTTTTCCACGTTTTGGTGGTCTCATTCCACGCGCTACTCGCCAAATTAATTGCAGTGTGTCAACTGCTCAACAAAAAGCACCAGCTACGGGCACGAATCATTATTTCAGAATAATAATTTATTTTCCTGCATCTTCACTTTATATATGCTGGTAAGTTCACCATATATTATGATCAAAATCTTGAATTCGATTAATATATACAAAGCAGTTGGATCGTGCCAACTAAACCCATCAATTTGACATTATATCGTACCAACTAAATCCATAAATCTGACATTTTACCTACTAATCACAAAACCCTATCCATTAAACTATGATTTTTTTTTAATGCAAACAATATCAAGAGAGTAGAATTCAAACACACCAGATTTTTGAGTGGATGATAAATTCTCTTAATCACTAGTTATAAATCCTTTGCTCAGTAAGATATGATGCTTAACCCATAACTTTTCAAGCCTCTTGTTCGATCACTAGCCTACCAAAATTCTAGTATACTCCAGTCACTGGAGTCCAGTGTATCATACACTAAAGTTTTTAATCGTTAAATTTTAGTCATTAAATTTTCAATCAAGAATCTAACAACCAAAAATTAAATGTGTCCCGAGTAGAAAAGCACCCTCTGCAAAATTATGGTCCAATCTGTATTGCTAGCATGTGTTGAGTTGGAACTTGTAAATAATGGAAGTTCGTATTTTGTATGGTTATCATCAGACATCATCATCAAATTATACATCTTTATTTTTTATTGTTCGAATAAAGTATATCATTTAAGAGTATATGAATTCGAAGGAAGGCCTATTGCCACATGTCAGCTAAAGAATATAGAGATAGCTATCACGTCTAATATATGAATGGAGATGAATTGTCTGCTCTCCTCTTCCCATATCCTCCTCATGCCTTTCTATTTTGTGCGATCATGATTAAGTCAAGTTTACATTTTATATTAATTTTTTTATAAAAATAATAAGATAAAAAAATAAATGTTGACGTAACTTAACCGTGACTGTATAAAACAGAATGGTATAAAAAGGGTATGGGAATGGTAGGGCAAACAATCCATTGAATCATTAAATGCAAAGGAAGTAATGGATTGTATTGTAACCCTGAAGGTTCAAAGGAAGGCCTATTGCCATGTGTCAACAAAGAATAGAGAGATAGCTACCACGTCTAATCTATGAATTCGAATCATTAAATGCAAAGGAAGTAATGGATTGTAACCCTGAAGTAGGGATGGGCAATGGTTATGGCGGGCGGGTAACCGTGATTATTTACCCATAACCATTTATGTTCATCCCCGCATAACAGTTTACCCGTTGGGTAATTACATAAATGATTATACCCATAACCATAACCGTTTATAAACGGTTATCCATACCCATAACCATGTACCCATTTACCCATAACCATTTACCCATTTAACCATAACCATAACCATTTACCCATTTATCCATTTTTTCGACCGTTTGTCCTTTTTAACCCATTTACCCTCTTTTTTCGCCCATCCATTTACCCATTTAACCATAACCATAACCATTTACCCATTTATCCATTTTTTCGACCGTTTGTCCTTTTTAACCCATTTACCCTCTTTTTTCGCCCATCTACATTATTTTTTTAACAAATTGAAAATTACAAAAGAAAAATTTGTCATAATTTTTATTTTTTGACAATTAAACACCGTTATAAATACATTTTAGCTACCCATTACATACAATCGGGACTGAGGAAGTTGGAAGTTCCAACTTGGTAAACGTGGGATAGAAAACTGAGACTGATTTAAAATACCAAACAAATGCTATTGATAAGATTGTACACAAAGGTTGATAATCTACAACCCCACAAATTAATTCTATCAAAAACAAGTTCGATAGAAAAACTCATGTCAAACAAAGGCTGATGATTTATAATCCCACGACTTAATTCCATTGAACAAACAAGTTTGATATCAGAACAAGTTCGATAAAAAAACTCAAATACTAAAATTTAAACAATACCAAGCAGAAGCAATCGATAAAAACCCAAACTTTTGTTTTATAAAATTGAAAA